GAAAGATATGGGACCTTTTAATAAGGCAATGCCAAACGAGCTAGAACCCAGAAACTCATATTACAATTGATAAACAGCATTTGGGATTTCGGTGTCGTTGCCCATTTAAGATGTATCTTCCCAATAAGCCAAATAAATATGGAATACAAATTGTGATAATATGTAGTAGTACCACGAAGTATATGTTCAATGCTATTCCGTAATTGGGAACATCGGCAAAAACTTCTGATCTTCCATTGGGGGAGTATTATAAGTTATTATGTAGCTATTCCGACCAGTGCATGGGTTACCTGTGACAATTGGTTTACTTCACTTTTAGCAAAAAGCTAGTTAAAAGAGCCCTACAAATTGACGCTTGTAAGAATCATATGGTCGAACAAAAGAGAAATCCCGAAAGAAATGAAAAACACTCGCTCACCAAGGTTGGAACTAAAATGTTTTGTTATGACGGCCCTTTGACTCTTTTATCCTACAAACTTAAGCCATCCAAATGAAAAGGGCACGATTAATAACAAAAGTGGAAAGCCGTGCGTGATATTATATTATAATCAAACAAAAGGCGGTTTCGATACATTTAATCAAATGTCTTCGTTGGTGTTTTCGTTAATGATCGTGCTCGATATTTATTGCTGGATATCATGGTGGAGACGCTCGAAAGAAACCATATACATATTTTACTAGTAAACAAGCGAAAGCGCATTGAATTTGTTCATAATTATATAAATAAGTCGCCGGTATTTTGGAGACAAGTAATATTTTCGGATGAAAGTAAATTTTGCATTTTTGACATTAAAGGTCGACAAATTGTGTGGCGCAAGTCAGGAACTGCCCTTGAAAAGCAAAATCTTGTTGGTACAGTTAAACACGGAGGTGGCGGAATTATGGTGTGGGGTTGCATGGCGGCTGGTGGTGTGGGTCTGCTTGAATTTATTGAATCCACAATGGATAAATGGAGTTATTTGAACATTTTAAAAAAGAATTTGAAACACTTAGGTTCCAACAAGATAAGAAGCATACTGCGGAAATAGTTAGACCTTGGCTGTTGTACAATGCTCCTAGACAACTTAAAACGCCCCCTCAATCACCTGACCTCAATCCTATTGAGCATATATGCGATCTGTAGGAAAATAGAACTCGTCAGCATACAATAACAAGTAAAGAGGCTTTGCGAAGTGTTATGAAAGAAGAATGGTCCCAGATTATAGCTCAGGAAACAGATAAGTTGGTAAGATCAACGCGGCTATCCAACAAAATATTGAATTTAATTTTCTTTATCATTTTTAATACTTTTGTAACTAATTTTAAAGCTGAACGCAGACTTAATGGTGCCTATGTTTACTTCTCCTTACACTAAAATCCCGTTATCACAAAAAACATTTTTGTTTTTGCATTTTGAACATAAAAATATAAAGAAGAAATACATGTAGAAAATTTTAACTGAATTACCTATTTACATTGTGTTTTTACTTCACTTAAAAAATAGTGTCGGGTGAACGCATACTTTATTGGCTATGTGTCTACGTAAAATGTGATACACCCGTGTGTGGAGACATTTAATATGTAATTCTTACATGTAATTACGTCAAAAGTTAATATGCATTATATAAATGAACACTGTTACTGTTACTGAATTTAAGTAAACAATTTTTTTTTTGTAAGTTTTATGTTATGAAATGATGTCCTTCTAAAAATACAAATTTTTTGTGTTAACTTTTTAATAGAAGTAAATTACATTTCAATGTTTTAAATAAATAATAATTTTCTTGAAACAAATGTTCAAAATAAGCCTCTCAGACGTACGTTATCTTTTCAGTACTTAAAAATACACTATTTTAATTTTTACAGTATTAGAACATTATTGTTGGGGGTTAAGTAGAACAAACTGTGCTGTTGGAGAAGCTGTCTCAAAAAGAAGATACCATTGCTGCAGCTACATACCATTTGAACAGAAAAGATGATAACGTTTCAAAACTAGAGACGGAATTAAATGACAAAAAATAAGAATAATTAATTTAAATAATTTAAGTTTATTTTAGTATGTGCAATATATAATAATAAATAAAAAATTAATTACAATAAAAACAATTATTTAATTGAATAATGACAAGGACGGTTCTATTACTAGTTAAAACCGTAGTCCAATAATACCACAATAGTAGAGGGTCTAGTGTAAGTGGAGTAGATATTGGACTGAACAAATTAGTTTGTAGCGTGGTCCTATGTTATGCAGCGTTGAACCAGAGGCGGTCATGTTCTATGACAGCACAATGCTAAAAAAATGTGTCCATATGTTTGGACCACTTCGGTTACTACTGTTGGTTATATCGTAGCGTGGTCCTTTCCTAGCACACAATGTGATCTTACTTTTTGCAGGTTAACTAAATATTATTAAAAAGGGTTGTATGCTGAAATATTCACAATATTTCACAAAGGAAATGAGCGTTGAAGAGTCTGTCCCAAAGTGGATGGAAGGGTGACTTCAATACGCTCGAATGGCCGCAAAGTTGGCTCGAATGTCTGTACGAATTGCATTTGGAATGAGCTGGAGCTTCATATTTTATTTAACATTTAGTGCTAATGTTAAATGCTGTTACTCTCTCGAACTATTGGATAAATGCATACATATATATATATATATATATATATATACACATATATATTTATAAGTATGTACATATGTACGTATGTTTGTGTGTTTTATTTTTAGTAGTTGTGGATTTGTTCGGTGGTATTACTAAATGCCATAAGGATGTGCATTTATATCGCTATTTGAATTGTTGGTAATTGTGGTTTACTAGTATACCGTTATTTTTAATTTGACAACGCTGCTAGTTCTGCTTATACATACATAAGTATGTACGTCGATTTTCGGTTACTTCATTCGAATTCCCTTGTTTGTGAAGTTACTTTGTTAAGTATTATAATTATACATTCGTTTGTGCGTTCGGTAAATACGAGAATTGGCATTAGCAAACATCATTAATAACAACTGCGAAATGAAATTAACAAAATGTGTAGGATATTTGTTGCTGCGGCGTACACGTTACACATATCTACACACATATTTATGTAAATACATACATACATACACATGTATATGTACGTGCGTGCCAATATATAATAAATATTCGGGTATTTTTGTTCAACATGTTAGTTTGTTAATGAACATAGCGTAGGACTAATGACGTTATGGCAAAGGGATTATTACTTTAATCATTTTGCCAATTAACATACCCTATGAAGTTTGCTAAGTGCACTTTTACACAGGGACTCAAAAGAGTCAAATTTTCTTTTGGTGTCGCTCTGTGCATTCACACGGTCAAAAAGAGTCCAGCAACTCGAGTCTAGTTTTTCCGCATTCCTTTTCACAAATATTTGTGCGGTTCGACTGCGCAACACTGCGTGCTGCGTATTTCATTTGTATGTTGAGATGATGGTCACACATTTTGCTTGCAATGAATTAGCATGAATATGGTAGAACAATATGCATAATACAAGTACCTACCCGCCAAATAGTTTCAAAGTAATACTAAAGACGGGAATTCCCTAATCCACAAGAATGTATTATATATCCGCTACTAATATTTTCAAGGCCAAATTTATAATAGAAAATTCCTAATTTTTAAGTATTAAAAACTCATAATTTCTTTACTCCATAATCTATATCTTAATTTTCTCCTTATTTACAATTTGTCATAATATTTCTATTATTCTATGCATACATATTTGCATATTACATACAAAAATAGATAACAGAACTCATTTTTGCGATCGAATTCATTTAAACCGAGCGCTCTTGCAACCATTCAAAGAATTTGAAAGTGAAAAGGATTGCTGAAAAGGGTAGCAGCGAGCTGTTACGAACAAGAACACAAAGCGTGCCACCCGAACACGAGTGGCACGGTCCCTTCGTCTTTCCTCGTCGTCCCCTCGCCCACAATAAACTGGTTTGAGACTCAAAAGAGTCCCAATGTAAAAGTGCACATTCGAAACTCCTCTCTTTGCCTTCTGAGAGAGCTCATGATCTCGTGGTTTTCTTGGCAGCCCTGAAAGTTCATGACCTAGAGCCAGTTCATACACAGATTCTTTTGTAACCCAAACCGGTTTATTTTGAGCGAGGGGACGACGAGAAAAGACGAAGGAATGGAAAATAGTAAAATGCTTTAATATTTGTTTCTTTTAATCACAAAGGATTTAGTTCGAATATCATTTTACTTAAAACAAGAATTGTAAGTAATTCAAGAATGTTTTATAATAAATAGAAAAAAAATGGAATAAAAAAATGGATAAAATAATGGATTAGGGACTCCCCGACTTAATACTATGTTCGCACCGACACAAAATTCGTGTTTTCATAGACAAAAGAGGTTTTCACGCGAAAACTTGTGTTTTCATCCTTACAAAATCTGTCAAACGAAAACACAGTTTCTGCTGAAAACCCCTTAAAAACTTGCATTCCACTCATTATAATCGGTGCCTGCTCTAGTTTAATCGATATTATTAAAAGACATATTTTGTCAGCCCTAAATGTCACTTGACAATTTGCTTACATTCTGTGTTCAAATAGAGAAAAAAGTGTATAAAAAACGAAATTCGTGGAGTGAGAGTTGAGAAGCCCTACTAATTGAGTTGTGGGAAGAAAAAGTTGGTGCGCTTCGAGGGCCATAAAAAATAGCCACATTTTGGAGGAAATGGCAGTGGAGCTGCAGTAGCAAGATGTCACCTTCACGGCGGCAGAAATCAAAACGAAGATGCACAATCTATCGCAAAGATTTAGGTAAATAAAATTGAGTTAAAATAAATACTAAACAATATTGAGTAAATATTAACGCGTTATATGTTATTATGTTTTATAGGAAGGAGAAAACAGCAGTCGGTTCAACTGGCGGTTCCCCCTCGCAGTGGCCTTTATTTAAAAAAATGAGCGCAATACTGTCGCCATACAAGAGCTACAACACAGAGGGCTTAATGGAGGAAACCTTTAAAGTAAGAGACATGTGTTTTTTATTGAATATATTATTTATATTTACATATACATATATATACATTTTTAAAAAGGTTCTACGAACTCCGAACCGATGGAAATTTCGGTGGAAACGGCTGCGTGTTCAACATTTGTTTCTGCATTTCCACTGCTATCACCTGTTTGCACTCCTTCGCCCTCAGCGATGATAATGTCACCAACCGAGTTGTCGCTCGAGCCGATAGATTCTACAAAAAGGAAAAAATAATAATTTTCAAAGTTTGATAATAAAAAAATTGGAAAATATTGTAAAAGAAATAAAAGCAAGTAAGGAAGGGCTAAGTTCGGATGTTACCGAACATTTTATACTCTCGCAAAGTCAAATAGTATACTCGTTTGAGATTTCTTTGTGGATTGACTGATATTTTCGGTATAAGGTCAACTATAGGCACTGGGGTCCACATATTTAGTACTTAGGAGTTTAAACAGTTTTGGTTCGATTCAGACAATTTTTAGCCACAAAGTGGCATACTTTAATCGCAATATTCAAGCAAAGTTTTATCCCGATACAGTGATTGTTGCCTGATTTGCATAGTGGAAAGTGAAATAATCAGATGGAATTTAAAATGGTGTTATATGGGAAGTAGGCGTGGTTGTAGTCCGATTTCTCCCATTTTCGCACTATGACATAGAAACATAAAAAGAACGTTATTCACCGAATTTGGTTGAAATCGGTTAAGCAGATCTCAAGATATGGGTTTTCACCTAAAAGTGGGCTGTGCCACGCCCACTATATAATTTTGAACCCGGTTCCTATAACGTCATCTCATACCATCCCAGAGATAAAATTTAATGTCTCTGGCGTGTTTAGTGCTTGATTTATCGCGCATTTAGTAGTTTTTAACAGTACCGTTATATGGGGAGTGGGCGGAGTTGCCACCCGATTTCAACTATTTTCACACCGTCAATAAAAGTGCTAAAAACATTTGCTTCCAGTGAATTTTGTTATTATAGCATTAGCGGCTTAGGAGATATGCACATTAAACCTATTAGGGGGCGAGACCGCGCTCACTTTTAAAAAACAATTTAAATTGTAGATGCCCCTCCCTAATGTGATTATTTGTTTTTGATTAGTGGCGTTTTGTGGTCGTGGGAGTGGTCCCATTATGCATATGTTGGTATTGCAACCAACCGTCTAACGGTACCAAGGAACAATTATACCAAGTTTCATAAAGATATCTCAAATTTTACTCAAGTTACAGCTTGCACAGACTGACGGACAGACAGTTACCCGGATTTCAACTCATCTCTTCATCCTGATCATTTATATATACCAATATCTAACTCGAATAGTTTTAGGTGATACAAACAACCGTTAGGTGAATAAAACTATTATACTCTGTAGCAACATGTTGCAAGAGTATAAAAATACATAATTGACTGGTAAGTTTTATACACATTCTACTGATATTTTGTCGTTCAAAGCGTATACATACATATATGTATGTATATAAATCAACTAACTCTTTCGTCTTAACTACTGTTATGACGTACTGTCTGTCGGAGTATCAACGCAGCATGCCCAATACATTCGCAAAATTGGAAATTAATTTTTTAAGCTCCAAGTCGGAGGTAAAATCTGATTAAATATTTTTTAATTTAAATGTTGGAGTAACAAATGAAAAAAATTGAAATCAAACACTCTAATGAAAAGGGATAAAAAGGAAAGATTTTCATATTTCTAATTGAAAAACTATAATTAAAAGTAATGAAATGAAATATGAAATAAGACAAAAAATACTAAACTGTGGATGAGGATTTTAATTTTTAATCCGAGCTTGGAGATTAAACATTTATTTTTAATTTTACAATTCGATATGTGGGATTAGAAATTTGAAAATTATTTTTAATTAAGATATGCGGAATTACAAAGTAAATAGAAATTTTGAATTCAAATGTTAATTTAATTATCTTTTTAATGCATTATTTGAAACTATGGCGAAATTACAATAATTGAGTATTTTATTACGTAGAAGTACATAAGTATGTATCTCATAAAACTCTTGTTCTATGGTAGTAGTGCCGAAATTGCTGATAATACCGCGCATTGTTACATTATTATTTGGTATGAAAATAAACGCAAATTGAAATTTAACAACGTCTACTTTCAGTGAATCCTAATTTCTCATAAATCACTGGGTTAACATAAAAAATTTACCAAAAAAGATTTTACAATAATATAAAACGTATTATGAAAAATCGGTCCTGAATATTACTGTCGATATTGTATATTTAACTAAAATTTCGGCATTAATAATTACTAATTATAGTTTTGTGAAAGTGTCAAATTTCCTTTCCTTTCTTCTTAGCACAAGTTGTATACCTTCCCTATAGTAAAATCTTGTTTGAAGACCAGATCAGCTTATTCATATTATCACTGCGAAGTTCGTATAAAACAAAGTCATAATTCTTTAATTTTCAAATGTTCGACTTATTTGTTTGTTAATATATATACAAATATATATATGTACATATATGGTCAACAATGTCCTTTAATTCCTTTTGGAGTGTAGGACTAAAACAAAAATATTAAAGGCATTTCAGTTATTTGACAAAGTTGTTAAAATATTTCAGTTGGAGTTTGCTTTCCTAAGATCAACACCTGTTGGAGTAATTTTACTACCAAGGTAGCAAAATTGCGCTTTTCGCTTAATCTCTTCCCCAGTGATGGTGAAATGATACAAATTCAGTTTTGTCACGTTTATTTTTAGGCGAATTTCACTTGCATCCGTTTTCGTCTTTAATAAGGTGGTTACCACTACCATATTTCCTTGTGAGCACACGGCTTACTAAAGTTTATACAGTTTAGGAAAGTTATTCTTCCGGGCAGAAACTTCTGCCTGACACGCTATGCTGGACGTAGATTCGTTTAACAGAGCGGCAGGACGTTTTAACGTCTCTTTGCAGATACATACATATGTATGTAAACATACTGGCTTTTGCAGCTCGTGTGCGCACAGTGTCTCTTTCTATAACGGCGATGGTGGCTTTACATCTTACATCGCGTTTACATCTTACATCTTGTGCGATGCTGTCTCACATGATAGCAATATTTGTATGGAGCGCCGTCGTTGAACGAAACTATCTATTTGATCCTAACCTATAATATTGTAGGTTTATTATGTTATTGGAATTCAACAGCGTTTGAATTTGTACACTTCCTACAAACAGCTATGCCCAACATCAACGTTACAATTTTTCGATGTTTATAATTAAAAATTATGGATATAATTGTTAAAACTTAATAACATAGTGTCAAATCAAATAAAAACTTTGTAAACTATTAACGAATGAGTAAACAAACTTTAATATTAAATTAATATAATAAAAATTCCACATGGTATGTTGCCTTGAGCTTAATATCAACTAAAAACAACTTTTAATCAATCACTATTAAGTTTTGAAATAATGTTAAAATTTAAATTCCGTGGATTTTTATATCGTCTATAACGTTTTCGTGTTTATTCATAAGTAATAACTTCACAGTATTGAATAGCATATAATAATATAATATAATTTACGAGTATAAACGAATTTGAAATATCATTCCAATTAAGAATTCGGATATAGCAAAATACTGCCTCGGTGCGGCCAATATTGATTGTCTGTTTGTATTTAAGCATAAACCAGTACACATTAGCGATTGGCATCTACAATTGGCGGCGGCTTAAAGCGACCTTTAATCGATGGTGTTAAATGTTTGGACATGCCAACAAAGCAATCAGATTGCATACCTGCGTACACACTTGAGTACATGTGGGTGTATGTAAATATAAATCGGCATTAAGTTGTGTACGATTACTCGATTAGGTGACAAAAACGCGCTGATACCAAATGTTTCTGTAAATACCCGTTTTCAACAAGACGCTCCAAAAAAAATAAAAACGATTAACGGCGTTACAAGAAAGCTCTGTTATAATAAGAGCTGTGTGCTTTGAAACGAGCGCTCTTTGCATCACTCACACAAAAGCAATTGCATAGTTTTCACGTGGGTTAGTGAGAGACTTTCTCCTTTTGTTGTAAGAGAGCGGTATACATATGTATGCTTGTCAAAAGCTGACAGCTCTTATTTGGAATAAATAGCAAAGTGACTTAATAAGGCATTACACGATAAATGGAAATTTCATTGCAAAACGAATGCTTTATTATTGTAATTGCTTTGTTTGTGTTGTTGCGTTGGTGTGTACATATGTAAGTATTGTATGTATATGAAGAGCAGTAATGAAGTACTTTAGTTTGAGTATGGAATTGTATTATGAGGCCAGCAGAATCTTAACATTTTTGTTATGAAATAATAATTTTTGAATTAATGTTATATTGTTTGTTAGGTGGCAACATCAGTGTTGCAGTTTTTTAGTTTTTAATAAAATGTCAAACTAGTTAATTTATTTTTAAATTTTGGCACTTTGAAGATCCAAGCAAGAACAAAATGTGAAGAATTTCGGAGTGTTTTGCATCTGCTCATAGCAATGCGGCTTGACATTAACATTAAGAGGTTGTGAAGCACAAAAACTGGCAGTATCGAGGGTTTTAAACCCATTTTAAAACTAATTTCATTTTGTGAAAGGCGGTGTAGATATGTACATATGTATGTATGTGTATGTTTGTAAATATCTGACATAAAATATATCTATGTATAATAAATATATACTTTCTACATACATAAATACATAAGTGTACTCTATTCCTGCCACCAATTCAACCTTTGATAGTCATCTTTGCATTTCAAATTAAAGTGGAATTCCCCAATACGGACAGCTCTACTACGAACTACATAAGTATGTGTTGTAATTCTGATTGATTTTGTTGTCGCCTGGCTACGGGTCTAACATTTTTGGTCACCTCTATTGAATTATTTTTCATTTTGTTTCGTGGATATTTATCACCTTAATTATACGAGTATAGGTATATGAACATAATACACATTCATACTAATATATACATATGTATGTATATACAAACATACAAATGAATGTATTTTTTAAAATATACAACATTTAATATACTTATTACAACTTATGTTCATTTTGAAACTTAAGGAATATATTTTTAACACAAGTTATGAGAAATTTCACTGTATAATTTCAATATACATGTATGTACATGAATTTTGTACAATATCAGCATATGAATATAAAAAACTGTATATTTTACTTTTTCATTTGTTTAGGGAGTTCAAATTTTTTAATACATTTGTTCCGATAATTTTTATTTTTGTGCATTTTAAAACGTTTTAGACAGCATACTCGTTTTATAAACAAAATTGATTTTAATAGAGTCTTTTAAGCTTTGTGGCATGCCAGGCGTCCCTTCGTTGCCAAACCATTAAGGCAAGAAAAAATAAAACTTTAATTATTAAATCATTATATGTAAATATATATATATGTACATATGTATATCTGATAAAGTGAATTGCAAAATTATTTAAGAAAATGCTATTTTCCGCAAGTGTTGTTGTCATTTATTAGCGTGCAGCGCTTAGAATTTAGTTTCAGAAAGCGGCTAGGGCAATAAATCAAACAATAAATACATATGTATGTACATATGCATCTGAGTTGTATCCACCGACGTGTGCTACTGCACATACACAGATACAAATTTACATACAAATCAGCTACATTTTGTTTTGCTGTAATACACAAAATACTCGACCTAAAAAAAACCTTCCCATTTCAGTTAACAGTTGTCTTAACAGCACACGTTAACTCTCCAACTGCATGATTGCGGACTCTGAGTAATTTTCTCACTACTCACGTAACCTCACTGCGTCAGAACAAGAATGCGCTGCTCTCGCCGATTTTTTAACGCCAACATCCCCCCATTGTGTGCACTTGCGCTTCGCTGCCAAATCTCTCAATTTGTGTGCGGTCTAACATATTGTACGCAGTGTTCCCACTTGAAAAAATTTTTAGCCACCAAAATGCCTACCAAATCTGTTTCAAAACTATCAAATTTTTATATCATCAAAACATTATGTTTTATTTCACTTTACACTTGGAAAAATATGTATATACAAATAAACTTTAGTGGTGAATTAAATTTAGCTACATGCACACCCTTCCTTTTCTTCAAGTCAATGGAATATTTGTAATCACTCCCTACGAAATTTTCGCTTTGAAAGTTAGACGAGCATTTATCACTACAAAAGATAATCATGTGAGTGGTCGGCAACCATCCGTTTTGTTTCGAGGTTAAAATTCTAGAGTGACCCTTGCGACATGAATTGAACCGGCAATTCCGTAGGGTGGTGTCCTCTCTCCACTATTGTTTTACTTCTATATTTGTTAACTCTCTCAACCACCATAGGGAATTTCCATCACCTCTTATGCCGATGATTGTACGATATTGACGTCAGGCAATGGAATCGATGGTATGTGCTCGAAAGTAAACAACTATCTCAACGATCTTTCTCGCTTCTTCTATGCAAGGAGCCTGACACTCTCCCTCACTAAATTCGTAGCGACCAAGGAGTACAGCACACGGGCCACAGCAGACGAAGAGTTCGAATTTCCTCGAGAATCTAGAGTGACCCTTGCGAAACTTTATTCTGGATACTGTAGCAGGTTAAACTCTTATTTACTTTGCATGGTCATTGAATCCCATTCATCTAACACTCCTCTACTAATACTCCGACCCCATCGAAACAGCACGTTTCCTGAGCCTACCGTTAGATGAGTTCGATGACAACCAATTTGAACCTTATTACCTAAGCCAGGATTAGATAACCGCTACAACAACACACTACATATGTGTTGTAATTCTGATTGTCAAGTTATTAGTTGACATGTCACGAAAGTTTTCATTTATCTGACGTCGATATCATTTTGTTCGCTTACTGCGGAAGTTTTAGAATTTTTACCATAACAAATGCTTAAAAACTCAGTTGAACAGTATGGTATTAACAATTATTTTAGGTAAAAATAAAAATATTTACTTGCTTATTAGCCCGTTTTCCTTTGCTTTGATGCATGAAGTTGAAAAAATAAACGAATATATTAACCATCTTTATTTCACAGTTTCAATTATACTTAGTTAGATCTCTCATGAATATTTTTTAGTGAGTATGAATAGCAAACAAAAAAGTATGCAATTTTAAGCGAACAAATCTTAAGATTAACTTTCATTCTAAATACATCTAATAAAAATTTTTTCCTATCGACTAAAGTACCCAAGGCAAATTAAACTATAAATTTTGAACCAAATCGGACCAAACGGTAACGCTGATTGTACGTGAGGCTTCCATGACTGCATAGTGCCGTTTCACATTGGGACGCAAAAGAGTCTCATACCAGTTTATTGTGTACTTTGCATGGTCATTGAATCCCATTCATCTACACACTCTACTAATCTCGACCCCATCGAAACGCTTCCTGAGCTACCGTTATGATGAGTTCGATGACAACCATTTGACCTTATTACCGACCAGGTTAGATACGCAACACACTACACTGTGTTGTAATTTGATTGTCAGTTATTTGTGACATGTCACGAAATTTTCTTTTGACGTCGATACATTTTGTTCGCTTACTGCGGAAGTTTTAGAATTTATCATAACAAATGCTTAAACTCAGTTGAACAGTATGGTATTAACAATTATTTTAGGTAAAAATAAAAATATACTTGCTTATTAGCCCGTTTTCCTTTGCTTGATGCATGAAGTTGAAAAATAAACGAATATTAACCATCTTTATTTCACAGTTTTCATTATACTTAGTTAGATCTCTCATGAATATTTTTAGTGAGTGAATAGCAAACAAAAAGTATGCATTTATGCAACAAATCTTAAGATTAACTTTCATTCTAAATACATATATAAAAATTTTTCCTATCGACTAAGTACCCAAGGCAAATAAACTATAAATTTTGAACAAATCGGACCAAACGGTAACGCTGATTGTACGTGAGGCTTCCATGAATGCATAGTGCCGTTTCACATTGGGACGCAAAGAGTCTCATACCAGTTTATTGTGAGTGAGGGGACGACGAGGAAAGACGAAGGACCGTGCCACTCGTGTTCGGGTGGCACGCTTTGTGTTCTTGTTCGTAACAGCTCGCTGCTACCCTTTTCAGCATTCCTTTTACTTTCAAATCCTTTGAATGGTTGCAAGAGCGCTCGGTTACAATGAATTCGATCGCAAATTTGAGTTCTGTTATCTATTTTGTATGTAATATGCAAATACGTATGCATAGAATAATAGAAATATTATGACAAATTGTAAATAAGGAGAAAATTAAGACATAGATTATGGAGTAAAATTATGAAT